TTCACTTTCTCCTTCTATTCGCGCGTTTTATTCCCATCGTTATAACGTTGTCTTGGTCTCTCCCCAAGTTCAGGGCTGGCGTGCACGATCGTCGACGCCCCGTTTTGCGGTTTCAAGTCCCGCGGGATAACTTGATCGGCGAGATTTTCCGGAAATTTTTATATTTAACGAGTGCGCACTCTCTGCTTCTGCTCTGATATTAATCCGTACCCGATAGGATTGCTGGCTCGCTATTCGTGCGACCGTAGTCACGAAACATTTTTGTTTATCAATCGATAAGACGATGTACGTTACGTAGTACGCACGTTTAGAGACAAGTAATGTGCAATAAAACTTGTAAGAAAATTTTTCTTAATTAAATCCATCATATGCTAGAAATAAAATCTTTTCCTTCCTACATAGAAAAAGATTTGATATTATCAATTTTACTTTAATCAACATAATGCATAATATGCTTTCCCTGCAATATTTACTTTACATATATAATGATATACAATATATAATGATAAACAATATGCTTGGTTATATCTAAGCGCGTGACTACAAGGGTAAGAAAGGTAACGAACCTGCGGTGAATTTTATAGGTTTTTCTCTCTTTTTCTCTCCCTCGTTGTGATGCCGCCCCTGCATACATATATTCGGTCGGGGCGTCGATAACGACATGCATATTTTAAGTCAGCCTAAAAGGTGATAGTCTTCGAGGAAGCCGGGATAACGCCGGACGTGGGAAATAGCCCATGAAGTGTTCCCAATAAATATTATTTATTTCATATTTGTTATGAATAAAATATAGACGTGAGATATATATAAGGGAGGGCTTTTTTTATCTACTTGTACAGTTATGCAGTAACTTGTGGCAGTATCGGCAAAATATTTTACATATTTTATTTATGAGAAAAATATTATTTACTATATTTATACATTTTAGATTTTAGCTTGTAAGAATTAATTTTATTTTCATTCGAGAAAATTGAGATTCATTGTCAGAGTTTTGAAAAAAATAATTATATTTGATGCTATATGTATACAGAGAAAAATACGTGGATTCTTTTTATAAGTTATTAATGAATACCAAAAAATTTTTTATATACATATAGAGTTTTATCGCACATTATATAGCGCAAGAAGCGTTATAAAAACGAAGCTACAAATACTGCTGCAAAGTCGAGAGGTCTAATAAGGTGTGTTTGCATGATGATATAAGACCTATTATAATTGTAATGAGTCTGACGATTTGCATCAATCAGAAGATAAAAATATACTGTGGTATAATATATAATATTCTTTAAATAAATTTGACTTAATTCGATTTGATTTTTTTTAGTATTATAATTATTATTTAATTAATCATAATATCCGCTGCAACATTATATCATTAGCTATAGCTGCCATTTTGAGTTGCACAAGTAAACATGACTTATAGAATATAAAAGATTCTTATCTCTTATTGATGACACGTATGGAAGAGATTATATTGTGATGTTCAATATTATCGATTACATTTGTTGAATTATTTTTGCGTATCTCGTAGACCGAGACTTCCAACATAAAAGGAAATTCCCCATTTCACCATGACGAAGATACGGAATTATTACTGCTGTGGGTTATACGAAGGGACGTTCGTTTTGTCTCACTTCTTTCTGCACGGTATTGCCAATCTCGCTATTGAGTATAGAGAGAAGAAATCGAGTTTAGTATGATAGATTGGGCGGGTTGACAGCATCACACGACGCGACGGTCCTTCCGTCGTGATGCTGTCTCGCTCCAATCTTGACTAAGGGTGGTCCACACCGGGCGCGTCCCCATAGAGACCCTCTATGTTCGAGCCCCGGAGCATGTTACGGAGGGAAGACGGAGCGCTATTGTAAGTCCTTGGCCAACCAAAAAAGTTAACCAACCAAAATCTACTGAAATCACCCCACTACTCTGCTCCGCCCATTTCGTTATTTCTCTCGAAAATATTTTTCGCGATCTATATGTATATGTATATCTGCGTGCTTTCTTCAACCGTCTGTAAACTGTATTGGTTCAATTACTTTGATCACGTTTCGTTAAAAATAATGTTTGCTCTTGTTTAGTGATGCTGCGGCTAGAGATGTGTATAACTGAATATATGTATAATATTATTTGGATAATTTTATCATTTGTTTAATTGTTCATAGTTTTATATTATTTACTTTGTTTAGAATCTGATGTATCTCATGTTATTTTAAGATAGTCCTCTGCTAAATAAAATTATATGTACTATATTTATTATTATATCAATAAATGTATATAATGATAGAGTACACAGAAATTTTCAATTAAAAAAATATTCTTAAATCTTATCCATATAATATTATGGCATATTATGAATGTAGTCACATTTCGCGATATTCAAAATTGTGATAGACATGTTAAAGAAAATTAAATCGCATATTTAGAACATCGGGACTTAATAGCAGGAGTAAAAACGAAAGGGGTTAAACGAGGGTGACAAAGTTTCATTTCGGTTTGCATGCTTCGCTGCAATAAACGTCAGTCCCTCTAACGCCTACGATGGCGTTATTAATTCGATTATAATGAGCTATTAAGTGAAACGCTGGTAATCCCGACAAGCTCCATCCAAACGACTAAGCTCACACTCATTCTCCGAGTTAGAGGAGATTGTGGGGAGTACCATGGCCGTTAAGCAAATTAGTGTGCAGTTAGGGGAACTGTTCCGGCCTTTTTAGACGTTATTTTCATTGAGCCACGCTACGTCACTTTCTCATAGTTTCATCAACTCGACATTACAACAGTACGTAGAAATTTTTGTAGACCCGCTTCTCTTTCTTGCAAAAATATATTAAAAGAATAATATACGTGTAACACATCAAATATCTTTAACAAGATTGTCTCAACTTTTTTTAAAATTTTAAATGTATAATTAAATCTGGATAATTCTCTTTCCAAGAATTAAAATTTAATCAATGTATCACAAATAAAATGCGATAATTTTTTATTGCAAAATAAGGAGACATTTATCTATAAATATATCGTAATAAATACATACAAGAGGAAATTGACAAATATATGATGGTTTTTTCGTAATCAACATATCAAAGTTTTATTCGGATATATGTATTTGATTAATAAATGAATTATCTTATCAATGTCAGGAATTAATCTGATAAATTCGAGTGTAAGACGGTTTTACTTAGGTAAACGCAGGTCTCTTATCGGAATCTGTAATGTTTCCGCTACTATTGTACAATCTAAATCCAATACGTCACGTTTAAACACGTAAAGATTGTCGTCAAGATTGCACATTCTTGGTATTTATAAACATGTCTGTAAATAATTTGCTTATCGCTTTTCATATGTGAGAAACATTTTTTATTAATCTTGTGCAATTTAAACTTAGATTTGCAATAAATAATATCTGAATATGCATATACAATTAAAGTAAGCAAAAGTATACATAAAATAAAGCCTAGTATAGAATATACAAGTTATATATAACGATACACATTTTGATATTACGAATAATTTTCTTTTATCTCTTTGATTTATGATAGTAATGAAAAATATTCTCATAGTATCGAATATTTTCTATTACTCGTTTAATGTGTGCACAATCTTATCTATTATATGTATGATACATAGGCGTAAATAAAAATTGAATTGTAGGGTAAAATAATATGTATATGTATATACTGATAACTGAACTTTTGTTAGAAATATCTTGGAAAATATCGTTTATCCCGCAATCTATGAGTATAGTTAGCATTATAAATGATAATACAAGTCTATTATTAAGAATCCATTTACCACCCATTTATTATGATTGCATTTACGATAAAAAATGTAATTACGATAAAAATGCAATTCGTTAATAATAAAGTCAAAAGCAGATTTAAAAATAGCTGAACTATCTGATAAATTTAATTCATTCAATTTAGCAAATTTTTAATTAAGCTTTTCAAAATTAATAAATTCAAATATATATAATATAAATCTCTTTCTCTCTATCTCTCTTTCTCTTTCTTTCTCTCTCTTTATTAAACACTTCTGATAAGATAAAAGAAAATCAATAAGAAATACGGTAGCAAATTGCAGACTAATGACATTAAGGTCGTACGTACAAGGCTGGTATTATTAGGCAGCGTGCGTATGATTAATGATTATGGCAAACCGGGATTACGTCGCATTTTATTAATTCTCATACATACATACAGATTGTTTGAAAGCCACTGACTTGACGATTACCGAGCAGCATGTTACATTTTGTCTCTGACAAACTGTCCGCCTTGTTTGTCAATCTTAATTGAGGACTATCTTAGTAAAAACTGTTGATCTTCGATCAAGTGTTGTTTTAAAGTACTTCAATGCTCTGAATTTATGTAAAGTATTCTCAACAAGATGCAATTGAATTAAATTGTGCTTCTAGGAACTGAAATTGTTTTGCTGGCGATTAACGAATTCTACGAGCTTTAAAAGTTCTTGAGTTGTTACAAAATTAATAGTAAAATTTTGAAAATTAAAAATGTTATTTAAAATATGTGTATATACACGCACTTTATCTAATAATTATTATATTTAAAATGCGTAAATATAGAACGTAATAATTTTTTAAGTAAATGATAAGTTACAATATTAAACAAATAAATCAACACACAGAAAGAACATTTTATAGTAAACGTTTTCTTGTCCAAATATTAGCAATTTATTAATTAAAACATATAGTAATTTCTGATCTGATTTTTGAGAGATGTTTACTGCGTTTACACCTGAGTTTAATTGAATTCCACGACACAAGTTTTTTTAACTTGGAGCACGCTAATAGTCAATGATAGCTTCTCAAATAACAGGACTACATGTAAGATAGACAGCAGTGATTCTGCATCTTCGTACTTGAAGCTAATCAAGCGATGAACGAGATTTAACGAGTGGCTACTGGATCGCGCCCTAATTTCACGCTAGTTTGCTCGCCATACATAGGCGCCGACTTGACTTAAAATTTGAAATCATGCACTTACCGACTGGTTTAGGTACGTTTCTCTTGACTTGCATCCATTTGTAGGTTGGTACCTGCGCCTGTTGTTGTTGCTGTTGTGGATGATGCGCATGCGAATGCTGCTGCTGCTGATGATGATGGTGCCCGTGCTGATGAGGATGTTGAAGGTGGCCAGATTGCTGCAAAACGTGATAGGATGTCGCATCTGAATTCTCTTCCTTATAGTGTCCCGGTGGATGCGTGGAGAACTCGTTTTGCTGAATCTGTGTCTGATAGTGCAAGGATTCGTCCGATGACGACAATTGGTGGAGGTAGTTTGAGGTGCCGCCGACCGCTATTTGGTATTCCGGCTCGTGGTGGTGGTGATGATGGTGGTGATGACTAGAGGATTGATGATGAAGTTGCTGATCGTGTTCCGTTCTTGGATGACTAGCTTGAAGTACCGTGGTTTGATGAAGGCTGCTGCCAGCAGGCGGGTGATGATGATGATGATGATGATGATCTTCCCGGTAGGCAGGTTGCTGAACATGGTAATTTTGATGTGGATCCACTGATGTTACCGCGTGCTGCTGTTGATTCGGATATGAAGACGACGCGTAATCCAGGTTGGTATAACTCAGACCGTTCTCCGAAGAGATTATTGCTGTGGTGGAACCATTCTCATGGAGAACGGCACCCGTCGGAGAGTAGAAGCCTTGAGGCGGCGTACTGGACGACGCACCCGAGTCGGCAGTTAGGAAACTCTCGGAGGATGATGAAGAATATGGCGCCACTGCAGTCTGGGGGTAATAATGAGTTGGAGCTACCTCTGGAGAAGGAGGTACTGACACGTGACCGCCGACGGATGACGACTGATGATGGTGATGATGATGATGATGGTTTCCTTGACCCGAGAACACGTAGTTAGGATATGAATCAGACTTGCCGTAGGTCCCGTACATGCCCATGTCCATCATCATCATCCTCGTAACAGAGAGACAAATCAATTGACCACCCACTGTTTTGGTAATTGTTATGCGTACAGCCCAAGAAGAAAAGGAAACGACACAGACATGTTATTCATGCCTACAGTCGTACACTATTTTCTGAATTGATCATTTCAACATTGTACATGTATGTTTACTCTGCAGTTCTCTTGTACAAATAATATAAAACATTTACATTTGTTCAGTTAAACAAATTCACAAGATAAGCACATGATTAGTCTGTACACAAAAACAGTTGTCACTGTGCACTAAAACGATGCAAAAGCTATAACAATTTTATAAACTATCCAGGACCCAAAAATTCGTATTTAGTATATTCCTACGATAGCCTTACGCGAATTAGCACTTGAAAGTGCTAATTCGCAGGCACTACGAAACGTTAACCGTTGCCCGCAAAAACAATCCATGCGGTCATTCATGCAGTCGATCCGTCCGACGTGGGTCGTTGGAGTGAACTGGTTAGGTGGACTAGCGTAGCGGAAAGCTGCACACAGGTGAGACTGACCCGCAGTGGTCTGGCGTGTTCAAGTTTTCCTTCTTTCTCTCTGACTCTCTCTCTCCCTCGGACGTACCACCCAGATGTAGAGTGGTGGTACGTCCAGGCTGTGTGATGTTAGTTTCGGGGGAAGTCTCCATTATCGGTGGGCGGCACATAGAGGTGATCACGTGATGACGATTGGGCGGTTCCAACCAATCCTGGGTGAGTCTGCGCGCCCGAGTCCACTACCTCATGATGGATCACCAGTGTGAATTTTATTTTTCGTTCCTTCTTTTTATCTGGCACGCTGCAGTTGACACTTATCGTCGGGGGGGTAGAAGCTGGGGTATTATATCTCGGTACCCACCTTCTATGCTATCCAGAGGCAGGCAACCTCCGCCCTTCTATCCTAGGTTGTTTTGTGCCTTCTGCTTTTTTTTTCCTTCCACGCTCTTGACGGGTCCTTCTATGTACTTGCGTGTCTCGCTCGTCTCGAGGTACCAAGATACGACAACATCCTGCGTTTTTATTATAACTTGACAGTTGATGGTTTAATTATAGTTGCTCTACTGTATACGTGATCAACGATTTTATCAGTGAATAGTCAAATTGATGATTAAATTTTAATTGTTTTGCAGCAATATGTTTTTTTTTCTAAAGATAGATAAGCAAGCGAATTATTTCTCTATCATGTATATAAAGCAGATCAAGTTCCTCTTTCTAAGATAGCTTTCGTGCAGATTTGCGTTGTCCAGGAAAAAAAGTGGAGATGGCTAATTTAATTTGGTAGCTGTGTCACGTTAATAAATAAGAAAGATATTTCGGTCACACAGACGTACGACGCACGAAACAATTTGTGACTCTTCAGACTGCTGGGATATTCATCATCTTCACGTCGTCGAGACCCTGACATGACAATACACTACTTCTAGATATAACGAAGGACTAGGTCACATTCGACGCCAGGTCTCTGAAAAAAATGTGAAAAGTTCCTTAAAATTTATTTAGAGTTTTATTTAGAATGTATCTTAATTGATGTTTTATTTTTTCATTAAATATAAAGATTACGTTTTAGATTACATTAAATTGTTTACTAAATAAAGTATCAAAGAGTTTTTGAAACATTAGCAAAAAATAAAAAATGTAATATATAATCAGCTTCAAATATGTACCTTTCAATAACTAGACTGATCGACTCCACTTTTTGTAATCATTTTAATTTTTGTGTACCAGAGTACACGTTTAGTATTCTGGTACTAAAATTTAAAAAAAATTACAAAAAGTTTAATTGATTAATTTAGCTTCTGAAAGGTTTATATACAAAAAAGGCGATACGTTATATTTTTTCATTTTTTATTAATATTTTAAAGATTTTTATTTTTTTATTTAATAAATAATTTAATGTAGTTTGATATAAATATTATTAATCAGTTTTCTTTCAAAATTTTTTCTGTTTAAAGGAAATAGACTTTAAATAAATAGAATATATAAAATCTTATTGATAAATTTACATTTATCAATCATACACAATATGATTGAATAATAAGATTAATTACTATATTATTAAGAGTGCCATATCTAGTGTGATAAGTATGATGATTACATTGATGGTCGTAGCAGTAGCTTTCCCCAATTATTGTTTAATGGACGGGTTGTAAACATTTTTTTGGCAACAAGAAGATCTGAAAAAATGACAAGAGCTCGCTCGTCCGCAGGACGCGTGACGGCCCATGGGATATCTTCTACCCCATGCGAGAGCGCAGTGACAGGATGACACATTCCACCGTGAGAGTTTTAGAAGCATGGTCCCGTATCAGCAGTTCAGTCAGAAGAGCTTATATCGAGGGCGCCACCTGCGGCCACCCGCGACATCCGGCCTGTTTCGTACATCAGCCCGGGGAATCTTCATCTTGATCGAGCCGCAGTGACGTTTGATAGTTCTGATTCCCGCTGTCGGCTAATCTTTTTCACCCGAACGCGCAGTTACATATCTTATCTTTATCGAAATGCAATTCGAACTCTTTTCGTACTCTTGTATAAATAATGGTCCCAATAATGTATCATTACACTTATTACAACTGAGATTACATCAGTGTAAATAAATATAGCAGTCTTGTTAACTTTAATTTTAATACGGTCTTGTGCTTATGTTAGACAAAATTCGGAACAATATGTCGTTTCTTGCAATTTTTTAATATTTAGTATCATTAAATAATTGAACCTAAATCTTCTAACAAATTTGATTTACGCAGAATAATTCTGGATAAAATTAGTTTTTTGTCTATCAAAAGATTTCTCTCTATTATTTATTAGTGAGATAACGATAAAACTGAAATGTCGAAATGTCGAGAGAGCCGATCGTTGCCATAATTTGAGGTAAACTAGGAGGTCGCGTTTTAACAGAATTTGCGTAGATTAAACGGGTAAATTTGAGTTTAGCCTAGTTTAATACTGGATAAATATCGTCGCCCTTTTCTCCGGATCGACGCGCAAACTTTGCGGCTAATCCCACTAAACAATTATGGTCTACTCTTGTCAATCGGTCCAGTACCCATCTTTCCGTGCGACGTCATGCTGAGATTTGACGTGGGATGAGGCACCTGCATTGTCATGCTGAGCTCCAGTCGTTCTGTTACAGTGCTGGCTTTTATCTGCACAAGCTACAATAATCCATCGCCTTCCAAAGCGTCATTTCTTTTATTGTGTGTATTAAAACTCTTCCACTCTCTTGTTGTTTATTTGTCGATTAATTTTTATATTTTAACAATTTTTAATTATTATTAAATATTCATGTGCATTATCCAAAATCGAGCTGCTAGATAAAATAATTACAATGATAATAAAATAACTTTACGTGAAAGAGATGGAAAAAAAATTATGAAACTAATTTGGAAACTAATTTGGAATGCTGTGTAACGGAAGTGTCAAAGAAATCTTATAGAAAGTGCTAAAGAAAACTAAGAAAAGTCTCAATTTGTGTCTGTTTATGAATATTTATTTTTCGAGGAAAGCAAACTTGACTTCTGTCAACTGCTTAAGATTATATTTGAAGAGTGTCCAACAGTAGTCCAGCTTACCTAGATGTCTCATCTTAAACAGCGTTTTCGGATATTGGTCGTCCTGTCCATCAAAGAACGAGTCACAACAATCCAGCGGGAGTCTACTGACGAGCAGACAGCTGTCTATTGAAAGAATCGCGTGGGATTTCTTTCGGAAAGAAGGATTCCGTCTTTATAAAACGATACCGTACTCTATTGAAACAGTGTCAGTTCCTGCGAGGAAAACATGAATTTTGGAACCGCGTAAAATAAAAAAAGGAAGGACACAAGAATTGGGGTCGAAATTTTCGATACACCCCTCGAGGAAAAGAAATATTTTACGTGTCTTCTTTTATTAAAATTATTCCATTTAATCTTGACTGTCATATTTAAGAATAGGTCGCTTTTTCAGTTAAAACTTGAGGATAAATCCGTAATTTTATTTAAAAACAAAGTCATATTTAGCTTATTCTTAATTGTATATCGACGAAGAAAAATATCACAAAAAATCGTTTTTTCTTGAAACATTTCTTTTTCGCGTTGTTAATAAAATATCTGTGATTTAGTAAATATAGTGTAGGAGTAGATCAATATGTGACAACATATGAGATTCGATGTTTTAATGTAACAATCCGGTTCTGTAATATCGAATTATATCGACCATAGTATGTGCACAACTTTTCTCCGGAATCTGCTATCCAATCGATCTTCCGGCCAGAATTTTCCATAATTCTGCTCATTTTCGAAATGGCGCCTGGCTTTTTGTATGCCGCTCGCACGAAATCGTACCAGGGACATGGGAAACTCTGCACAATAGAGTCATCAATCATTCCGTATGAGAGTTACTCGATTGCTATACTCTAACTGTGCGCAGTCTTGCCGAGTCGGGCATGAATGTGAACGTAATCGAATACATTTACAGTACTATTGATAAGAAAAAATAACATGTTAGGAAAATATAATTATCGTATTAATTATCAATAATGAAAATAAGCACACATATATAAATATGTCACTTTCGAATAAACAAGAGCTGAAAAAATTTATCAGCTTTGATAATCTGAATAACAAGGACTACTGAAAACCACTGTAGAAAGAGCTGCATATAAATAATTGTAAAAATTTTACATGATTATTTTTATATATTTATTATTTATTATATATAATATATATATTTTTGATTAAAATGTTTTAATATATAAATATATAAATAATATATAAATGTGTTTTAATTATTTATTGCGTAGTTGAAAAAAAGAAAATATTTTATGAGTGAGCTCATTTAATCTGAAATATATATTTCAACATTCCATATTTTAATTTTTAGAACCATGAATAGGGAAAATGTTGAGACACAAGAAGATATGCAGCTTTGTGTCGGGAAAATATTCAGCGGGCGCAGAATGACTCTGCAGTGCTCGATATGCCATTTCATTTGAACCTGACTCACAGTTAGTCTATTCTACGTGTTGATCGTATCGTCGTAAATATTGAATAAATGTAATTAGGCGCTGGTGTTAGAAGGGTGCGTGCACGCGGTAGCATTATTCACTCGAGTGATCCTGATGAGTATGTAACTTCTGCGTCTACGCGATAGTTTAAGCGAGCGCTAAATTAAGCCTATTATCAAAGCTTATTAGCTTCTTTCAGTTTTTATTTAATTCGACAAAAGTGACAAGCATAGATTTAAATAAACACATATTTGTACATGTGTTTATTTTCAAAAATTATAATAAAGATGACATGTAATAATTTATTGTCTTATTATTTCTTAAATAGAAATTTTTAGAGCTCGTATAAGCAGCTAGCTTTAGTGGATTGATACTGACGAAATCAGTTTAAAGTTTGAAATATCTATATATCTGTGTGTTATATTTTCTATACTAGAAACTTATACGTTTTATCGTATTTATAATGATG